CCTGCGGTGCTGCCCCTTCCTGTTGTCCTCCCCGCCCGCCCGCACACACACTCCCCACAGCCGGGCCTTTATCTCTTATACCTCACACACACACACACACACACACACACACACACACACACACACACACACACACACACACACACACACACGCACACACACACACACACACGCACACACACACACAAAGCAGCCTTTTGGAGAATTTGATCCCTGCAACTATTTGATATTGTACTGCGTCTATTAAACGGCAGAGGGGGGCGGGGTGGGCTCAACATGGAACAACTGGCTGTTCTGTGGAGAGACCACCGCCGCCCCCTCCGGGCCCCCACATCCCCAAAGATGTAACAGTAATCCATTAGTCAGCCTCAGAAAAGCTAAGTCTCGCATATTTCCCTTCAAATGATCATGTGGCTTTCTTACTTGACACCCAGATCCACACGGACACGCACATACCGACGCACACAAGTGTTAACGTCCATCCAGTTTTAATGTCCAAGAAAAGTGTCAAGGAATGTGGTACAAGAGTGAGGAATCCCAACCCGAAAGAGGAAAAAGATCCGAGCAGCAACACGCAAATGACCTTGAGATGCTTTGGTGAGATGAAGTTGATGACGACGACGACGCCTCAAGTGGGCAGAGCACCAGAGCACGATATTAAAAATGAAGCCGCGACACCTGCAAAGTCTCATGCGCTACCCGAGGCTCCGTGCCACTTCCTGTTTACCATCAGAAGGCCGGGTCATGTGACGCGGGCGGCCGTTTGGGCCGAGCGCTCGCTTCATTGGCGCACAATGGCCGCTTTGTTAGCGACTTTGCTTGCTGCTGAGACTGGCGCATCCAAGATGGTGGACAGGTTTTGTCTTTTTGTGGCTTTTGACTGCTGCAGATGTGATACGGCTGTTTGGCCAATCCATGTGGAGATGTCGCTGTTCGCTTTCGGATGAAACGAAAGCTGTTTGTCTCCATTTGCGGAATGCTGACCATGAACCTCCACTCACTTGGGATGCCGTGACAACTACACGGCAGTGGAGGGTGACTGACCCTGGGGAGGAGATGCCCACACACAGACACACACACACAAACACACACACACACACACACACACACACACACACACACACACGCAAAATTAATGTGCAGAGTGATGACAATTTCCAACCACTGTGACGATGATCCAATGTCACTTCATTTTGTTCGAAAATGATCATATTTATGGCACATATATATATATATATAT